ATTGGGGGGCGGGGGGTGAGGGGGGTCTCTCTACACTGATCACTGGCTTCCATGCAGAGGGCGTTTTGCAGACTGTAAACAGGTACCGACTTCCAAAGCTACAATATAACACAATGGTGAACCCAAATCACATGCTGACCTGTGAGTTTGTGTGATGTTTTTTAACTTCTCACATTTTTACCTTGTGTGAATAGAACTCTTCTTGGCTACAAAACATCAGGTGTCACTTTGGCACCAAAAGCTATACTCCAGAAAAACATGGACGACCAAAGGATGGAGGGATGGATGATGAAGGGATGATGGAGGGATGATGGAGGGAGGGAGGGACAGTCAGACTGCATTGCAATGAACGCACTGTTTACTGTTTTGGTGAATGATGCAGTGTTTGGTCCACGAGCTAATGAGCCAACACGTCTGGCTAAAAGGTGCGTCTTGTCCGTGCAGGAGGGTCTCGTCGGTGAGGGGTCCCAGGTAAGGGAGGTCCCCTCTCAGGCCCCAACTGAACTCCAGGACGCTGGTTCCTGGGGCCATCTTGACTGCTTTCTTCGGCGAGAGAGTTTCTGTCCAGAGCAGAGCCTGGCTCTGTAAGTCTCTGGGTATTTACGCTCTGTCACTGTGCAAACAGAATCACTGGCAGCCGAGACGAGCTTCAGGACAAAGAACCTTCCATGATTCCGCTCTAATGGAGGGATGGAAGCCGCACCACAAATTAACTATAACTTGTAGCCGCTGCCTCCTTCTCCAACACAGCTGGCCTGTCCAGCCTTAACCCTTGGCAGGGAACAGCAAAATGCAAAAGCAGGAATCTCAGACCCAGACTTGGAGACCAGATGGCACCCCTCTCAGGCCACCGTCTACATGAGGAGTCCCTGAGACCTCAGCGGGGCAGCGTGTCCCTGTGACCGCACCAGTGTGGACCAACCCATGGCTGTCCTGCCTTCCTCCCGGTCCAAGGGCTGGGGACTCGGGCCTGTGCCAGACCCCACAGGAGACGGCCAAAGGCTTCCTGAGCTGGCCGTCCCCTTCTCAGCTGTGGGGGGGCCGGCGTTCTCTGGGGGAGCCGGCGTTCTCAGCAGTACTCCTGTCTGGTTGTGCTGAGCGTGTCCCCAAGGGGGGAGGTGGCTGTGAAGGAAGGCTGCTTTTCAGGCAGCCTCAAAAGCTGCTTTTTTTCTGCTGCTTTCTGTAAATAATAGAACAAAGCCTACTTTCTGCCAGACGCCTCCCACCCGGGGTACTGCAGAAGCTTCTGCTGAAATCCCCCACCTCCTGTCTGCCGACCCATCCCACACGCTCCTCCGGGTGAGAGTGAGCTCCTTCCCCGGGGCGGGGGCGGGGCGGGCGGTGAGCTGACGGCGGTGCGTGGGGGCGGCTGCCTGGACAGGCAGCACACAGATGGGGGGCGTCAGAGAACTGGACGATCACCCCGGCCGCACAGCTAAGTCCCTACGGGCTTGGTGACAGGCTCACCATCTGCCCTGACTCTGCTC